TTTTATTTTTACTTTTTTGAATTCTTTTTATTAATACATTAGGTTCTCACGGTCTCAAGCACATGAGGCTCTCTGAAACCTCATGAATACATCTGGACACTGTTCAAAGGCCCTCATCTGTTCTTCTTTGGAACTGCTGGACAGTAAACTTGCTGGTGGAAGCATAAATTGAAAGAGTGTAGAGGTCAGTTTGGCACTGTGAGGATTAATTTTGTGTCAACTTGGCTGGACCACAGTACTTAGAGAGCTGATCAACACTATTCTAGACATTTCTGTGAAGGTGTTTATGGATGACAGTAACATTTACATCAGTGGACTTTTAAGTACAGCAGCCCCTCCTTATCCATAAGGGATATGTTCCAAGGCCCTTAGCAGATTCCTAAAACCATGGATAGTCCCGAGCCCTATACATATGTTTCTCTCTATTTGACAGTGCCTGCTGCTAAGTGATTAACAGCATATATAGCGTGGGTACCCTGGACAAAGGAGTGATTCCCGTCCCAGAACATGAATTCTTGTCCAGGATGAAGTGGGCCAGCATGAGATTTCATCAAGCTACTCAGGATGGTATGCAATTTAAAGCTTATAAATTATTTCTGAAATTTTCCACTTAATATTTTCAGACTGTGAGTAAATGAAACCAGGGAAAATAAAAACATGGATATGGGGGGACCTATATAGTATAGCAAATTCCTCTCCATAATGTGGGTGGGCCTCATTCAGTCAGTTAAAACCTTAATAAAATAAGCCTGGCATCCTATCCCTTTCTCCCCAGCAATGAATTCTGACAGCAGCCAGCCTTTGTTTTACTTTTTTAAAGACAAGGTCTCATGCCATTGCTCAGGCTGGTCTTGAACTCCTGGGCTCAAGTGATCCTCATGCCTTCAACTCCCAACAAGTTGGGACTACAGGTGTGCACCACAGTGCCCAGGTGGCAGAGACTCTTTAAACTGCAACTCTTCCTGCATCTCCAGCCTGCTGGTCTATTCTGAAGACTGACCACGCCACTGTAATCATGTGAGCCAACCTTTTTTTTTTTGAGAAAAAAAGATGGAGTCTTGCTCTGTCACCCAGGCTAGAGTACAGTGGCATGATCTCAGCTCACTGCAACCTCTACCTTCTAGGTTCAGGCGATTCTCCTGCCTCAGCCTCCCTAGTAGCTGGGACTACAAGCACCACCATGCTCAGCTAATTTTTGTATTTTTAGTAGAGATGTGGTTTCACCATATTGGCCAGGCTGGACTTGAACTCCTGACCTCATGATCCACCCGCCTCGGCCTCCCAAAGTGCTGGGATCGGCATGAGCCACTGTGCCTGGCCAACAGTCTTTTTTTTTTTTTTTGAGACGGAGTTTCGCTCTTGTTACCCAGGCTGGAGTGCAATGGCATGATCTCGGCTCACCGCAACCTCCGCCTCCTGGGTTCAGGCAATTCTCCTGCCTCAGCCTCCTGAGTAGCTGGGATTACAGGCACGCGCCACCATGCCCAGCTAATTTTTTGTAGTTTTAGTAGAGACGGGGTTTCACCGTGTTGACCAGGATGGTCTCGATCTCTTGACCTCGTGATCCACCTGCCTCGGCCTCCCAAAGTGCTGGGATTACAGGCTTGAGCCACCGCGCCCGGCCCAGTCTTTTAAAATAAAAATAAATCTCTCTCCCCACATACATACATATATACATATAGATATGTACACACACATCCTGTTGATTCTATTCTCCGAGAACTGTGATTAACACTGGCACAATTTATTAAAACTGTTTATCCTGGACTGCGTGCAGAGGCTCACCCCTGTAATCCCAGAACTTTGGGAGGCCAAGACAAGTGGATCACCTGAAGTTGGGAGTTCAAGACCAACATGGTGAAACACTGGTCAGTTTCTGACCAACATGGCAAAACCCCATCTGTACTAAAAATCAAAAATTAGCCAGGCATCATGGCACATCCCTGTAATCCCAGCTGCTGGGAAGGCTGAGCCAGAAGAACTGCCTGAAACCAGGAGGCAGAGGTTACAGTGAACCAAGATGGCACCACTGCACTCCAGCCTGGGCAACAGAGCGAGACTCCGTTTCAAAAACAACAGCAACAACAACGAAAAAAAAAACAAAAAGAAAACTGCTCATGCTGGTTACAATCCATCCACACAACAGAATATGCTACAGCCACAGGGAGAGATGCAGACTCTTTATGTAATGATATGGAAAGGTCTCTAAAATGTATTTAACAAAAGTATGTAGAGTGTACAATTATCTGTGTAAACAAGAGTATAAAAATAAACATTCCCATTGTTTATTTTTTAACTTTTTGAGACAGGGTCTCACTCTGTTGCCCAGGCTAGAGTGCAGTGATGTGACTGATCACAGCGGACTGCAGCCTCTAACTTCTAGGTTCAAGTAATCCTCCCGCCCCAGCCTCTCAAGTGGCTGGGACAATAAACATACACCACCACGTTCAGCGAATTTTTTTTTTTTCAAGATAAGAGTCTGGCTTTATCGCCCAGGCTGGAGTGCAGTGGCACAATCTCAGCTCACTGCAACCTCCACCTCCCAGGTTCAAGCAATTCTCCTGACTCAGTCTCCTGAGTAGCTGGGATTACAGGCGCCTGCCACCATACCTGGCTAACTTTTGTATTTTTAGTAGAGACGCGTTTTCATCATGTTGGCCAGGCTGGTCTTGAACTACCGACCTCATGATCTGCCTGCCTCAGCCTCCCACAGTGCCGGGATTATAGCCATGAGCCACCGTGCCTGGCCATGTTCAGCAAATTTTTAAATTTTTTTGTAGAGACAGGGTCTCCCCATATTGCCCAGGCTGGTCCCAAACTCCTGGCCTCTAGCAATCCTCCTGCCTCAGCCTCCCAAAATGTTGGGATTACAGATTTAGAGATGTGAGCCACTGTGAATAGCCCTATTGTTTCTATGTTGGGCGGGAACCTCTGGAAGGGTACCTAAGAAACTCACAAGAGAGGTTACCTATTGGAACAGGCCAGGGGTGGAATTAAGTAAATGGGAGACAAAGGAGAAGAGACTTTTTGTTTTACTCTTTTTTATACTCTTTGATAAATGCACCTATTCTGTGACCCAGCAGTTCCATACACATGTAATTACCTTATAAATATGTATTTACCATATGTGCAAAATGACATATATATCTGTGCAAGGATATTCTGTTGTAGCATTATTTTTAAAAGAATGGAAACAACCTATACACCCATCAGCAGGAAACTGGTTAAATAAATCATCCATTTGAAGAAACAGTGCGTTTGTTACAAAGAATGACGCAGTTCTCTATGTTCTGATATGGAACAATTTCCAAGTTGAATGGAAAAAAGCAAGGTGCAGAATGATGTGTATAAAATGCTACCATTTGTGTGGGAAGAAAAGTGAAACTATATGCATATCCGTTTGCAAATGCAGGAAATGTCTCCAGAACACAGAATAATAACAGTGGCTGCCCCTGGGGAGAACTGGGTAACTGGGAAATATGGTGGTAGGGAGAGATTATTACCTCACCCTTGGCATTTTTTTTTTTTTTTTGAGATGGAGTCTCACTCTGTTGCCCAGGCTAGAGTGCAGTGGCACAATCTCGGCTCACTGCAACCTCCGCCCCTCAGGTTCAAGCGATTCTCCTGCCTCAGCCTCCTAAGTAACTAGGACTACAGGCACATGCCACCATGCCCAGCTAATTTTTGTATATTTAGGAGAGACAGGGTTTCACTATGTTAGCCAGGATGGTCTCGATCTCTCGACCTTGTGAACCACCCGCCTTGGCCTCTCAAAGTGCTGGGATTACAGGCATGAGCCATCGGGCCCAGCCATGGGCATGTTTTATCTATTCAAAACTGTGTAAAATTTCTGAGGAGGGGTGTTCGAGGAGGAAGAGCAGAAAAAGTCACATGCTAGGGTGGAGGCTAAAGCCATCTGTACACAAAGCACTTCACATATTACACTTTTTCTTGAGGCTTTTAACCTGAGTTTCCCTGGAATTGCTCTTATAAATTCTAACTTTGGAACATACCCAATTTCACTGGAGACCCAGGATCTTCACAAAACGAGGAAGATAATTTTTGAAGACAAGAGCAAGCACTGGCTCTCTGCAAGGAACACCGACTCTTTAATCCATGCAGAAAGACAACTGGATCCAGACCTTTACTTCAGAACCGTTTTTATTCATCATCTAACCAACGGAGGTAGTTGGCTTGAACCCAACCTAAAACGGCTCAAAAGGCCTGCCTTGTTATAACACAACAGGGTGAAACCAGAAGTGAGGAGAGTTTAGCATCGGTTCTTTGCAGAGAAGACCAAGCATGTATTTATACACAGATGCCTCATTAAAAACTGATTGGCAGTGTTCCACCAGCACAGACCCAGAGTGTGCAGAAATCCATGAGTGCTCTGTACATGTGTCATTCAGACAATGAGCCTCTTCCTCAGCCATAAACAAGCTCTTGCTTTTTGGGAGGAGGGTGATCAGTATGTTATCTTGAATGATGGCACCGTTTACTCTGGAACTTTGAAGGGGAGGTGACAACTTATTTTCTCCCCTGAATCTGAGATGCAGTGGCCTGTGAGAGTATCTAAAATGTGTTCTGGAAGACAGATAGGTGGTGGTGGTTGTCATAACAGAGAGCTTACCCCAGAGTTTATTGAGTAATTGTGTTGCGCTCTTTTTTTTTTTTTTTGAGACGGAGTTTCGTTCTTGTTACCCAGGCTGGAGTGCAATGGCGCGATCTCGGCTCACCGCAACCTCCGCCTCCTGGGTTCAGGCAGTTCTCCTGCCTCAGCCTCCTGAGTAGCTGGGATTACAGGCACGTGCCACCATGCCCATCTAATTTTTTGTATTTTTAGTAGAGACGGGGTTTCACCATGTTGACCAGGATGGTCTCGATCTCTTGACCTCGTGATCCACCCGCCTCGGCCTCCCAAAGTGCTGGGATTACAGGCTTGAGCCACCGCGCCCGGCCCTGTGTTGGGCTCTTTAAGTAATTAATCCTACTGTTTTTCAGAAACCCTTTGCACTGGGCTGCCAAGAAGCCGGCAGGGCCCCATGGAGTGCCCCACAGGCCTATAAGTGAGGTGCCTCTCAGAGCAGTCACCCAGGGAAGGGAGGAGGGCAGGAAATGGGGCCAGCGGAGATGCAGGGACAGAAATCAGCAGAAACACTCCATGCTGGTTCTGACTCGCTCCATCTCGTGCAGGAAGCTGTAGAACTGAGGCAAGGTTAATTCTGGGGAGAGAAAATTCAGCTTCAGATAAATGTTTCCAACTCCACAGAATCATCCAAGAAAATTAATTTCCACCCAGAGTTTGTTTTTTTTTTTTTTTTCTCTTTTGGCTTGGTACATCTAAGCAGCTCTTGATGGGTAATTGATCATAATAAAGAACTGAGAGACTTGAATGCAGAAGGTTCTCAGCTCCATAGGAAAAAAGGGGAGTGAGTGTTCAAATGGCACAGCTCCACGGCACAAAGAGATGAAAGGGCATCATTCGGGATGTTCAATGTGACTTCTACGGCAAGAGCTTCTTGCTCGTCAACCTTCTTCTTCAATCCAAGCCATTCCTTTCCCTCCCTTTCCCTTTGTCAAAAAGGCTCTTCAACTGCGGGGGCTCCAGCCTGCCAATGGCTCACTAACACTCCTTGTGCCATCATGAGAGGAAAGGCAGTGGAATGGCTACTCCACAGCTGGCAACGACTGTTTTTATAGAAGACATGATTTTCGGTGAACGTAACCAGCCCCTGACTGCAGAGAACACGTAAAAGGTGAAAAGGCTCAAATGGGAATTCAGACTCACCTATATACACATTTTCGGTTTGATTTCCTTTTTTAACCACCAACTTTAGCTGATTAAAGAAAAAGAAATAATTTAAATTAAAATGATGATGACTGGGCAAAGAAATTCTTTTTTTTTTTTTTTTTTTTTTGAGACGGAGTTTCACTCTTGTTACCCAGGCTGGAGTGCAACGGCGCGATCTTGGCTCACCGCAGCCTCTGCCTCCTGGGTTCAGGCAATTCTGCTGCCTCAACCTCCTGAGTAGCTGGGATTACAGGCACGCGCCACCATGCCCAGCTAATGTTTTGTATTTTTAGAAGAGGCGGGGTTTCACCATGTTGACCAGGATGGTCTCGATCTCTTGACCTCATGATCCACCCGCCTCGGCCTCCCAAAGTGCTGGGATTACAGGCTTGAGCCACCGCGCCCAGCAAAGAAATTCTTAAAACCCTTTCACTTAATTAAGCTTCCAACCTGAGAGTCATACGGGAGCAGTCTGGAGCATCCACCACCGAAAATTCTAACAATTCCCACAATTACAGAACAATTACACTTTAATTAATAATACTAGGATCTGGCCATTTGGATGTAGGCAAGTTAGTGACCACATCTTTAGCTGGCTACACTGCTCTGAGATATATAAGGTACTTCAATAAAACACCCATTTAAATGGATATTTAAAGAAACCCAGTGTAGATCTGATAATTTTTAACTGAGTCAAAAATCTACCCATTTTCAAGGATCAGGGGAAGACTTACTTGTAAAAATATACTTCCCACTTTCTCCAGTTCGCTGCTCCCAGATGTCACTGTGACATAAAAAAAAAAAAAGAGAGAGAGAGAGACAGAAATAACAAGTGACTGATTGAGGACTTACCCTGAAGACCCCAATTTTGCAGCGGTCCAGCAGAAGCCATGTGGGGCCCAGTATGAGGGCAGCAAGTTGTGCTCTTTGGAAAGTCAACTTATCCAGAGCCATGAATGAAAATAGTTACTGACTGCGGACAGAATACAAAGCAGCTGCTGCTGCCCCAACAGTGCTGGGGACTAGGACATGCCTTCTTCCCCACAGTGGCTGTGTCACAGCCTCTGCAACCCGCCCCTGTACCACCCAAATAACCCAGGACTGCTTGTAACTAGTTACCTCCAAATTTCCACTCCATATCAATGAGCTGGTTAATCATCAGAGTCTGACCTATGGCCCACTGAGCAAGGGCGGGGGCATTCTGCTTCCACTGGAACAAAAGCAAAAGCCAGTCAGTAACAATAGGAAGAATCTCCCCCTCTCCATCCTGCCCCAAACATTGCAATATTTAATAGCATTTACACAGATAGTGGGGAGGTTGCAGAACCAAGGGCTCGGCCTATATGCACATACCTAGTGAAGGTGGGGTACAAAGTGGCAGACTACAACATAAATGTTTTATTTTTCATTCCAAGATTTGTTTCATCTTGGAATAAAAATGGTGCTGCCCTCATACTGGCTCCCGCATGGCTTCTACTGGACAATGGCAAAATTGGGGTCTTCACGGTAAGTTCTCAATAAGTCACTTTTTTTTTTTGTCACAGTGACATCTGAGAGCAGCAAATTGGAGAAAGTAGGAGTCTTTTTACAAGTAAGTCTTCTCCTGATCCGTGAAAATGGGGAGATTTTTGACTGGGTCAAACCAGGAGAAATGATTAGAGATGCACTGAATACTGCTGTTAAAGCTGTGTGTATGACACTCACTTGAAGCCAAATGAAAACCTTAGGCTGGGGAGGCCAAGCACGGGGGCTTACGAGGTCAAGAGATTGAGACCATCCTGGCCAACATGGTGAAACCCTGTCTCTACTAAAATACAAAAATTAACTGGGCGTGGTAGCACAAGCCTGTAGTCCCAGCTACTCAGGAGGATGAGGCAAGAGAATTGCTTGAACCTGGGAGGCAGAAGTTGCAGTGAGCTGAGATCCCGCCACTGCACTCCAGTCTGGCGCCTGGTGACAGGACGAGACTCTGTCTCAAAAAAAAAAAAAAAAGAAAGAAAGAAAACCTTAGGCTGGGGAAATGATGATACTGATGGATGATATAGCCATACTCGGCATTTCCCATTGTTTTCTCTCTTCGTGAAATAAAAGCAAGGGGCCGGGAGTGGTGGCTCACACATGTAATCCCAGCACTTTGGGAGGCCGAGCTGGTTGGATCACCTGAGGTCAGGAGTTGAAGACCAGCCTGACCAACATGGTGAAACCTTGTCTCTACTAAAAATATATAGGTGAATTCAGACTCACCTATATACACATTTTCGGTTTGATTTCCTTTTTATAAAATTAGCTGGGCATGGTGGCACATGCCTGTAATCCCAGCTACTTAGGAGGCTAGGGCAGGAGAACTGCTTGAACCCGGGAGGTGGAGGTTGCAGTTAGCCGAGGTCATGCCATTGCACTCCAGCCTAGGCAACAAGAGTGAAGCTTGGTCTCAAAAATAAATAAATAAATAGCAAAGGATCTTAATTAAGTTTGATTAAGAGGAATTATACCTTTTCAGCAAAGTAAGTGGCTTTTTCCTCACTAAGACCTATAAGAGAACAGAAGGAGACATTAACATAATCAAAAGCCTCAGAAGCCAGTCACCCTGAGCAACCTTGGCCAATGACCTACCCAGAGTTATGAAATCCGCCTGGACCTGCTTGGCTGTGAGACTCTTCTTCAAAGCACCTGGGAGGCAGGGGAGAGGTCAGTCAGAAAGGCAGACCAGTGAATTAGTTGGCAATAAGTATTTAATGGCCACAATCTACATGACCTAAAGGACAAAAGGAACACCCAAAGACTGGCCAGCTCCATGAAGATCTCAATCTAGCCATGGGGAAAGAGCATCCGAAATGACCAGAAAACAAGAAAGACAGTACATTTTAAAATTTATTTTGGTCGGGCGCCAAGGCTCACACCTGTAATCCCAACACTTTGGGAGGCCAAGGCAGGCGGATCACTTGAGGTCAAGAGTTCAAGACCAGCCTGGCCAACATAGTGAAACCTCACCTCTACTAAAAATACAAAAAAAAAATTTAGCCAGGCGTGGTGGTGGGCACCTGTATGTAGTCCCAGCTACTTGGGAGGCTGAGGCAGAATTGCTTGAACCCAGGAGGTGTAGGTTGCAGTGAACCAAGATCACGTCACTACACTCCAGCCTGGTGACACAGCGAGACTTGACCTCAAAAAAAAGAAAAAAAAATTATTTCTTTCTTTCTTTTATTTTTATTTTATTTATTTATTTATTTTTTAAAGACAGGGTTTGACCATGTTGGTCAGGCTGGTCTTGAACTCCCAACCTCAGGTGATCCACCTGCCTTGGCCTCCAAAGTGCTTGGATTACAGGCATGAGCCACCACACCCAGCCCTTATTTCTTTCTTTTCTACAGCTCTGAAAATTTATTTTTTAAATTTATTTATTATTTTTTTATTTTTTTGAGATGGAGTCTTGCTCTGTCACTCAGGGTGGAGTGCAATGGTGTGATCTTGGCTCACTGCAACCTACACCTCCCAAGTTCAAGTGATTTTCAGCCTCCTGAACAGCTGGGACTACAGACATGTGCCACCACACCCAACTAATTTTTGTATTTTTAGTAGAGATGGGGTTTTACCATGTTGGCCAGGCTGGTCTCGAACTACTGACCTCAAGTGATCCACTCACCCTGGCCTTCCAAAGTACTAAGATACAGGGATGAGAGCCACCATGCTCAGCTCATGTTTTTTTCAATTGTACAACACAATTATTCATCCCTCCAGCAAGTGTGAGAGAAGTCAGAGACAACGGAAAAGACTTCACAGACTTGGGGATGGGGCAACTGGTGTGAGGAATGAGTAAGGCTATGGATTCCTGGAGCAAGAGGCAGGGGAGCGCAATGTCAGGTTGGGCACAGGGGGCAACCACCTAGAGCCCCACAGTGCATTATATAGCCACTACTGCATGTGGTTATGCAAAAAAAATTTTTTTCTTGAGACGGAGTCTCCTTCTGTTGCCAGGTTGGACTGCAGTGGCACGATCTCAGCTCACTGAAACCTCCAACTCCCTGGTTCAAGCGATTCTCCTGCCTCAGCCTCCCGAGTAGCTGGGATTACATGCATGTGATACCACACCCAGCCTAGTTGTTTTTCGTTGTTTTTGTTTTTTTGTTTTTTTTTTTTTTAAGATGGAGTTTCACTCTTGTTGCCCAGGCTAGGCTGCAATGGTACAATTTTGGCTCACTGCAATTGATGCCTCCTGGGTTCAAGTGATTCTCCTGCCTCAGCCTCCCAAGTGGCTGAGATTATAGGCATGCGCCACCACACCCAGCTAATTTTTTGTATTTAGTAGAGATGGGGTTTCACTATGTCGGTCAGGCTGGTCTCAAACTCCTGATCTCAGGTGATCCACCTGCCTTGGCCTCCCAAGTTGCTGGGATTACCAGTGTGAGCCACCGTGCCCTGGCCGGTTATGCAAATTTTAGTTAAATAAAATTTAAAATTCCATTCCTCGGTCTCACCACCTATTTCCTGTGTCAAACAGTCACACAAGGCCAGGGACCATTGTAATGAACACTGAAGATTACAGACCATTTATATCTGCAGAGAAAGTTCTGTTGGGTGGTGCTGTCCTAGGAAGTAAGCTTCCACGAGGTACACCAACCTGGATTAAACAGACTAACCTCTACAACTCACAAGTCACTTCCAGAGGGGCTGTGAAAACTTCTTCTCAGAAGCCCTAGGAACACTCCCGTGTGGTGGCCACCTTGTTTTGCTAGGCTCCAATTCCTGAAAACAAAGCCAGCAATCTGGGCTTCTCAATATTTAACCTGCAGGCTGCATCCCCATAGTCACAATTTGGCAACCACTCTCAAATTTTCCACTTCTTAGTTCGCCAGAAAATGACTAATTAAAGAATAGGAAGATGCCGACCACCATCAACGGAAAGCCCTGAACCTATACCCTACACCCAAGTCCCCATCCCCACCCCAACCTAACTCCAGAAAAACAATCCTAAAGTCTGTTGTAGCGGTAAAATCAACCATGTAAACAAAGGGAGGAAATCTTTTATCTCCAAAATCAGACTGAGCAAGGAAGCCACATGGAATAAAAACGGCAAGACCCCAGGAAACCTTAGCCATAAAGGTCCTCTGAGAAGGTGGCTACTTCCCAGGCAATCCAATTAACTCATAACTACCACGAATACAGCTCCTTAGTTTATATCCAATTCAAATCAAATATTTGACAATGCCAAAACGCTGTGAAGTGGGCTTCATTATTGTAACTTTTTTTTTTTTTTTGAGACAGTGAGACAGGGCTTCACTCTGTCGCCCAGGCTGGAGTGCAGTTGGGCATTATCAGCTCACCTTCCCCCGCCTGGGGGGCTCAAGCAATTCTCCCACCTCAGCCTCCAGCATAGCTGGGACTACAGGCGTGTGCCACCACACCCAGTCAATTTTTTCAATTTTTATAGGAACAGAGTTTTGCCACATTGCCCAGGCTGGTCTCAAACTCCTGGACTCAAGCAATCTACCTGCCTTGGCCTCCCAAAGTGCTGGGATTACAGCCGTGAGCCACCATGCCCAGCTATTACTGTAACTTAATTTACCAGTAAAGATTGAGCATTTTGGGGAGAAATCTGGCAAATCCATGTAGTCAAGAATTGCACTGCCAAGAATTTACCCAACCAAGATACACCGAAAAAGCACACTGAAATATACAGGGGAAGCTCTTTAGCAACGTGGGTAGTAGGGATGAAAGGTCATGGAGAGACCAGGCACGATGGGTCACACCTATAATCCCAGCACTTTGGGAGGCTTAGGTGGGGGAATCACTTGAGCCCCCTTCTAAACCAGCCTGAGCAACGTGGCAAGACTCCGTCTCTACAAAAAATACAAAACTTAGCCAGGTGTGGTGGCACGCCTGTGGTCCCAGACACTTGGAAGCTGAGGTGGGAGGATCCCTTGAGCCATGGAGGTGAAGGCTGCAGTGAGCCAAGATGGTTGACACTATACTCCAGCCTGGGTGACAGTTGAGATCCTGTCTCAAAAAACAAACAAACAAATAAACAAACATCATGGATAGCATGCTGGTTACATTCACACAGTAGCCTGGGTGCCAAGATGACTTTAAAACTCACATCAGGATGGGTGTGGTGGCTCATTCCTGTAGTACCAGCACTTTGGGAGGCAGAGGTGGAAGGACTGATTGAGCCCAGAAGTTCGAGACCAGCCTAGCCAACATGGTGAAACCCCATCTCCACTAAAAATACAAAAATTAGCCGGGCGTGCTGGCATATGCCTATGGTCCCACCTACTTTGGAGGCTGAGGCAGAATTGCCTGAACCCGGGAGGCAGAGGTTTCAGTGAGCTGAGATTGCACCACTGCACTCCAGCCTGGGCGACAGAGTGAGACTCTGTCTAAAAAAAAACAAACAAAACAAGTGTTACTTAAAAGAAAAAAAAGGGAAACAGTTAAAGGAACAAGGCCACAACAGTCAGCAAATGACGGAGCCAAGTGGCTTATAGGCCAGAGGGTCCCCAACACCAAGTTCTTTCTACTCCAGATCATTCTCAGAGGCTATCTTGCTGTTGCGGTACCAGGCAATGCCTTGACAGTTACTGACAATGAAGGCAACCAAGCTGCAGAGACCGAAGAGCAAGCTCTCCATCCTGAAGTTACCTTGGGAGGGCAGAGGCCAGACTTGAAACATGGAGTGGCATCATGCTAGGCCTCAAGCTCTTAACTGCTTTTTCAGCATTTCCCTGTGGTGATTCCTTTGTCCTAAGCAAATGCCAGCACAAGAGAGACCTGCAACCTTTGACCCTATGTCAGATAGAATGAAAATTGTGTTGGGGCCTCTTGGAGGATGGGGTTGAGGAGGGATAGTATTAGGAAAAATAATGAATGCATCCTGAGCTTAATACTTAGGTGATGGGTTGGCAGGTACAGCAAACCACCACGGCACACTGTGCAACAAACCTGCACACCCTGCACATGTACCCCAGAGCTTAAAAAAAAGAAAATTATGTAAACTCCAACAGCTGCAGTCAGCAGAACATGCTACATGGGGAAATTTAAGAACATCCTTCTTCAAACACAGATAACCTTGAGATGGTCTTAAAAGTCCACAGGCATCAATTTTCTTTTCTTTTCTTTTTTTTTTTTTTGAGACGG